CGCCCGCACGCGCCCGCACGCGCCCGCACGCGCCCGCACGCGCCCGCTGCACATACCAGGCCCGGCCACCTGTAGCAGGCAGGAGTTGAGCGGATCAGCGAAGCATCCTGATGGACAGTTTAACGTCTGATGGTCAGCAGCAGATGACGAAGCAGCAGAGAGCTTGATGCTGGCTTTAATCCTCACGAGACGGCCGGCACGTGTTCCACGGCACCTGGAGCTATGTTTTCGGGCAGGCAGAAACACCGCACGCTTCAGGTAAACTGGGACATCAACAAGCAGAGGGGGTGGGGGTACAGAGCCCCGATCAAAGTGGCCGAACAAGGCAGGATTTGCTGTAGATAACTGTATATTTAAAAGTTGTTGGTGATCATAAACAAGCAGTGAGTTTATGTCACCGAAGAAAAATGAAAAAACAGAAAAAAAAAACAATCAAAACGGACAGAGGTGAACGGCAAGCCACCAGCAGCAACGCCAACTTACCGGAAGTCATTACAGTGTAACTGCAATAAGTTCTCATCGTATTGGACTGTAATTTAGTTCAGAAAGCCTTATTTGTTTGTAAAACTTTTAAAACCCAAGTTTAGAATAGTTGTCATTTATTTTTGTTAGTCTCAATATTTATTTTTTTCCTTTTTCTACCTCCATAGAAAGTGCCTCAGTACACATTGATCATCCAAGCAACAGACATGGAGGGCACCCCCATGGATGGTCTCTCCAGCACAGCCACAGCCGTCATCATAGTTACAGCCATTGATGACAATCCACCGGAGTTTACTGCTGAGATGGTAAGAAACAATCTCATGTATGAGATGTCAACACAGTGCTCTTTGTTTAGCAATATCACCTCAAGGACCTCATTTACCTGGGTGTTAATAGTGCCTGCACTCCTAATGTCCTGCATACATATGATCAGGAAATCATTTTTTTCACTTTTCATCATGTCCAGGAACATGCTGTCCCTCCAGTCATGTCCAAGAATTTAGAGGAAATAGTGTTTCCTATGCAAAACACGGACAGCCAACTAAAACGCATGAAAAGAGACTGGGTCATCCCTCCAATCAATGTCCCTGAGAACTCGCGGGGCCCATTCCCACAAGAGCTAGTCCGGGTAATGTATTTGACTCAACTGCATGCATGCACACAGACACCAGTCTTGTAGCTTTTAAGAGAGACAGCCTTTGAGAGAGACAGCCTTTGGTTAATATGACAGCCTTGTAGGCTCACAATTGCTTTTAGCTGCGTTCAGGGTAATATGGAACTGACAGATGTGAGGCGTGTCTCATTTACTGCATGTTTCTAAAGTTTTTCTTTTTTTTTAAATAAAATATATTTTATTTTAATATTTATAAGTCAGGAATCAAATTGTACACCATGATAATTGTTTATTGGCTGACAGAATCTTTTCTTTTCTGCTTTTTCTTAATGGTACAAGGATAAATGCAGTTTAGTTTGCAAAAACAGTGCTCAGGCCGAGGTGTGGACAGCTATGAAACAGATCCTTTTTCAGCACATTAATCTTCCATACTCTGTGCTAAATCCTATGATTGTAAAATGTGTTATTTTTAATCAGGCAATATTTGGAAAGGTGTTTCCAGGCTACAGTATGTGATATTAAGAGAACATGGTTTACAGAGAATGAATCAAGGGTGTAGTCTGAGGTTTTCAGCTTACATAGATACTCAGTCCAACTATGACAGAACTTCACTACTATGCTTTTTTGTGCTTGAAGGACAACTGGCTTATTAAAAACAATCATTTGTCCAGAAATGCCTAGAAATTTCAATTTATGTAACGTTTTCTGCACTTTTAGTGTTCTGAATTTAGTTATGTTGAGTGATTAATGTCAAGTTGAATCTTTGCACCCACAGATCAGATCAGATCATGATAAAAACCGGTCTCTAAGATACAGTGTGACGGGCCCGGGTGCTGACCAGCCTCCAAATGCAATCTTCACTATTGACCCCATTTCTGGAGAGCTCACGGTTAACAAGCCCCTCGATCGAGAGCACATCTCCAACTTCCATGTAAGTCAAGCACAGCATTTAAACAAATATGTTCCCTAGTGAATTATTTGAGATTTAAAAATGTCATTTTCAGTTAGCTTTATCAAGAAAAATGGGTTCTCACTGGCGGCACCGTACATTCCTGCCAGTTGGCATGTGCTCAAGATCATGTGTAGCCTCAACAGTCCCTTTAGACTCAAAGATTTGAGTCTCCCTGGAAATCCAACTTATCCGTCTGAGAATTTCAAGGATTTTGAGTGAATTGTGTGTTAGCTACATTAACATAACCTTCAGTTTGTAAGCAGATTTGATTAATTGTTTTATTCCATTTAAATGAAATATTCTTTTAAAATAACATTTGAAATTTTCTTCCGATTGTTTTTCCTGCTTTTTCTTTGTAGGTTTTCTAATAAATATAAACTATAGAGCAGCTTACAACTGTTTGTCACACTTCACTCATAATATTCCTTTGTGTATCAAATTATAAAGTTTAATTTAAATAACTATCTATACATTTTAACAAGATAGTTTGCTGTTATTTATACAGAACTTGTAGATTTTAATGTAAACTATAAGTTTTGCTCAATGTAGTATGAATGAATTGACTCACTGGATATAAGAGGGGATTTATTAGTGGTTTAGTTTTGTGGTTATTTTTGCTGTTGTGTACTAAATTAAGGGTCATATTAATGCACTTTAATAGGTCTTGTTTTAAAACAGTGAGGTGATTAGTATTGTTATACTGGAGTTATTATAACAACATGAATCATCTTGGATTATATCAGTTTATATATCAGTTATATCAGACATTAATCAGAAATACAGACAATTGTTGCGTTGTTGATTCTATGGCAGACGTCTTACCACATGGCTCATCGTGGGTTATCGATGTTCATGCAGCGGTAGTGGTGGTGGGGAAAAAACAACTGTACAATCTTTACTCTCGTTGTCATTATCTGCTTGATTCTGCTCAGGTTGACTATCTCCAATGGTCATCAGACAAAACAAAACTCAAATACAAAGAGCAATGTGCTTTGGTCCTCCTTTTGTCTTACTAGTTTAGATTAAGAACATTTCTTCAACCATTTGCAGTTTTTTCCTACACCAATAAATGCTGCTGGTTACAGTTTATGGCTTTGGTTAATACATTCATGTAATGGGTGACACTTACTGAGAGGTGTTTATTTATTTGTGTTTTTTAATGGTTTTACAGATAAGAATAACCCAGTTTTTTGTGTGTTCTTTCCAGTTAAGAGCTCATGCAGTGGACTTGAACGGCAACCAGGTTGAAAACCCTATTGATATTGTGATCAATGTGATCGACATGAATGACAACAGACCTGAGTTCACTCATCAGATCTGGAATGGCACTGTTCCAGAAGGTTCCAAGCCAGGTAAGATCCTGCATAAAGTCCTTTTATTCCTCTATGATCCTCTAGCTACACTACTTGTTATGGTGCTGGTAGATTAAACATTAATGATATTCCTTAATTACCTTTCTGAGTAAAAAGAGAAGTGATTTAAGGTAATTTGAATCTTGTTTCCTCTTTTTTTTTTTTGCCTCAAAGGGACATTTGTCATGACTGTAACATCTCTAGACAAAGATGATCCCAAAACAGCAAATGGTATGCTTCGTTACAAGATTTTGTCTCAGACTCCAGAGAGCCCGACCTCCAATATGTTCACCATCAACCATGAAACTGGAGACATCATTACAGTAGCAGCAGGCTTGGACAGAGAGGTACTACACACTTTTTTGTTTTCTTCCGTTACATTTTTCCCCTTATATCTGACATTTGTTTGACTTTCTCTAGCAAACCCATCCGTTAGTTAAGTTAGCTGCTATGTTCCTGGCAAAAACCAATGCAGACATCTTCCTTTTTTTCCATCCTGCCATCCACCCATCAATCCATCCATTCTCTTCAGTTTTTCCGGGGTCGGTTTGCGGGTGTAGCAGCCTAAGTAGGGAGGCCCTGACTTCCCTCTCCCCAGCCACTTGGGCCAGTTCCTCCAGGGGAATCCCATGGCGTTCCCAGGCCAGCCAAGAAACATAGTCCCCCCAGCATGTCCTGGGTCTTCCTCTGGGTCTCCTCCCGGTGGGACGTGCCCGGAACACCTCACCAGGGAGGCGTCCAGGAGGCATCCTAAACAGATGCTCGAGCCACCTCAACTGGCTCCTCTCGATGTGGAGAGTGTGGTAAAGAGGTGAAAAAGAGACTCCAGGCAGGATGGAGTGGATTGAGAAAAGTTTCAGGAGTGATTTGCGACAAACGGGTGACGGCAAAGGTGAACGAAAAAGTTGGCAAGACTGGTGAGACCAGCAATGTTGTATGGTCTGGACACACTGGCATTGACAAAAAGACTGGAGAAAGAACTGGAAGTTGTAGAAATAAAGACATTGAGGTTCTCCTTAAGAGTAACAAGGATGGATATGATTAGGAATGAGATCATCAGAGGTACAGCACAGGTTGAACAACTGGGAGATAAAGTTAGAGATACTGAGATGGTTTGGACATGTCCAGAGGAGGGACAGTGGGTATATTGGTATAAGGATGTTAGAAATGCAGCTACCAGGAAAAAAGGCAGATGAAGGCCAAAGAGAAGATGCACTGCCTGGCCAAAAAAAAAGTCACCACCTGGATTTAACTATGCAAATAGGTACGAACCTCCTATTGGATAATTACTGCATGGATGATTATATTTCAGCTGGCAACAAGTTATTTAACCCCAACTGGTACAATGAGTTGCTTCTCATTTCTTAACAGTGTTGAAAGACACATTGTGTGGTCGTGGACAAGATGTCAATCTGTTTGAGAAGGGTCAAATCATTGGCATGCATCAAGCAGAGAAAACATCTAAGGAGATTGCAGAAACTACTAAAGTTTGGTTAAGAACTGTCCAACGCATTATTTAAAAACTGGAAGGATAGTGGGGACCCATCATCTTCAAGGAACAAATGTGTCCGGAAAAAAATCCTGAATGATCGTGATCGGCAATCACTTAAACGTTAGGTGAAATCAAATTGAAGAAAAACAACAGTAGCACTCAGGGCTATGTTTAATAGTGAACGTAAGAGCATTTACACACGCACAATGTGAAGGGAACTCAATGGCTTGGGACTGAACAGCTGTGTAGCCTTAAGAAAACCACTAATCACTGAGGCCAACCAGAAAAAAAGACTTAAATTTGCTAGGGAGCATAAAGATTGGACTCTGGAGCAATGGAAGAAGGTCATGTGGTCTGATGAATCCAGATTTACCCTGTTCAAGAGTGATGGGCGCACCAGGGTAAGGAGACAGGCAGGTGAAGTGATGCACCCATCATGCCTAGTGCCTAGTCATCAATGCAAGGTCTTGGTGAAAAATTAATGCAACACTGGATGGAAATAGATCTTGTGACATTGCAGAAGCTTATCGAAACAGTGCCACAGCAAATGCATGCTGTAATCAAAGATAAAGGCAATCCAAAGAAATATTGGTGTCTGACCTTTTTTTTTTTTTTTTTGATGGCGACTTTTTTTTTGGCCAGGCAGTGTATATGGGTGCAGTTAGAGAGGACAGGGAGGTAGTTGGAGTGAGGACAAATGATGTAGAGGACACAGTGAGTTGCAGGAAGATGGGTCGCTGTGGCGACCCCTGAAGAGGGAAAAGCTGAAAGAAGATTTTTGCTGTATTAACAATTTTTTTGTTTGTTTTTGGTTAAATGGTCCGTGGGTTTTAAAAACTGTTGACAGTTCGAGAAATACGCCAATATTCAGACTGCTTGAGAACTAATGAGCCAAAGTAAATTTAGGTTATCACCTAAATGAGAAATAAAAGTGGACGTGACTGTTTCACACTAATTTACTCTTGCAAGGAACCACTGTGCATCACTAAGCATTTAAATGTTTTTTTTTTCTTTTTTTGTTCTTTTTTTTTTCTTTTTAAAGAAAAAGTGCTTTATGTCTTCTTTCTCTCCATTTTTCATGAAGCCACTCTTGTTAAATTAGGATTCTATGGTTGTTTGGGCAAATAAATAAAATTATGTATACCACTGGAGCTAGTTGGTTCAGTTCTAGTGAAGATAATCTGGCTGAGGTGGCTGCTCACACACTTCCACCCTGGGGCTGCAGATTTATGTCTACAAGTTGCCACCATGAAAGTATTTTGCCTAACTCTCATTACCTAGCAACTGGTCCATCACCTGAGTGGTTTTTATTGTGAAAAAAGTCATTTGTTCCCTGTATGGTTGTGTTCATTGTACAGGTGCGCTTTGCACACATATACACACAAACTTGTTTGAACTCGTGAAAGAAGTTCAATTTATATTTAAAAAAAAAAACCTCTCCATGTGTCAATAAAATGTTGGACTGGCCAGATTTGTTTTAGTAAAAATTATATTAGTCAAGTCAACTTTATTTATAGAGCACATTTAAAACAGAACCTGTTATCAAAGTGCTTAACAACAACACCAATCAATGAGAGTAAAATTAAATAGAAAAAAAATACAATACTCTAATAATAATAACTGAAGAATTAATAAAAAGCATTTAAAACATAGGGTCACAGATAAAAAAAACCACTAGATCAATTTACACTGTGTGAAATGCCTGCGAGAACAGATGTGTTTTTAGCAGGGATTTGAAGTGAGGAAGGGAGGTGGCCTGCCTGATGTTGGGGGGCAGATTGTTCCAGAGTTTGGGGCCCATGACTGAAAAAGCCCTATCTCCTCTGAGCTTCAGTCTTGTTTTTGGAACAGCCAAACGCAGTTGATGATCTCAGGGCCCGAGAGGGAACGTAAGGTTCCAGAAGCTCGGAGAGGTAGAGGTAAAGGGGTGCGAGACCATTTAGGCACTTGAAGGTCAACAGAAGAATTTTAAAGACTATCCTAATACGAACAGGGAGCCAGTGAAGGGAGGACAGAACTGGTGTAATATGTTCAGACCTACGAGTTCCAGTTAAAAGCCAAGCAGCAGCATTCTGGACGAGCTGAAGACGTGAAATGGAGGCCTGGCTGACCCCAGCATAGAGTACATTGCAATTGTACAATCAGGTCGTGACAAAGGCATGGACTAGTTTCTCATGGTCGGGTCTGGACAACACTGTCTTGAGCTTAGCTACCTGTCTTAGTTGGAGGAAACTTTTCTGCAGAACATAATTTGTTTGTCAAACTTGAAGTCAGAGTCTAAAACCATCCCAAGATTTTTACCAGACTGCTTAAGATATGGCTGAAGAGAGTCCAGGTTGACAGGATCAGTGGCAGCAGTTGAGCTAGGGCTAAAGACAATGACTTCAGTCTTCTCATTGTTAAAACTTAAGAAATTTGAAGCCATCCAGGCCTTAATGTCATCCAGACATTCTAACAGTGGGTGAATGGAACAAACACTTGCTGGTTTCACAGGCAGGTAGATCTGGCAGTCATCAGCATAGCAATGGAATGAAAGACCGTGTTTTCTCAGGATGGACCCCAGTGGGAGCAAATAAAGTGAGAACAGAAGGGGTCCAAGAATGGAACCCTCTGGGGCCCCGCAAAAAAGAGGTAATGAGGTGGATACATTATTATCAACCTTGACACAAAAACTCCTGCCACTCGGGTATGAGCAGAACCATTCTAATGCAGCTCCTGTGATCCCAACCCACTGTTCCAGCCGTGATATAAGGATACTGAGGTCAACAGTATCAAAAGTAGCAGTAAGGTCCAGGAGCACAAGTACCACAAATTGACCAGAATCGTTTGATATAATATCGTTACAAACCCTTACTAATGCTGTTTCAGTGCTTTGGAGTTGCTTAAAACCAGATTGAAAAATCTCAAAGATTCTGTTCTCATTCAAAAACTTGTTTAATTGAATGAAAACTATTTTCTCCAAGATTTTGGACAGGAAGGGAAGTTTTGAGATTGGTCTGACATTTGAGCAAGTCGAAGGGTCAAGTCCAGGTTTCTTAATTAACGGATGAACTACTGCATGTTTGAAAACATTGGGAACCACACTTGTCACGATACTACTATCTATAATAGTAAGAACAGAGGGCCCAATTGTGGGTAGAACTTGTTTGAAAAACGACGCAGGAATGGGGTCAGCAGGGGAACCGGAGGTTTTCATCTGACCAACGACTTTGTTTAGAAATGGGAGTGAAATGGGTTCAAACTGTTTGAAGACAGCTGAGTAAGGGACAAAGACAGAGGGATCAGTTGTGGACTGGGGGATGGATGACCTAATCAACTCTACCTTATCAGCGAAGTATCTGGTAAAGTCGTTGCAGATGTCAACAGAGGCCTCCATGCTGGCAGACCGAGGCACGTTTAAAATGGAATTTACGGTATTAAAAAAAAAAAAACGCGGGGATTATGACTGTTTGAAGCAATGATTTGGGTGAAGTATTTGTTCTTTTCAGATTTAACGATGTTCTGATAGTCTTTCAGACACGTTTTTACCATAATAAAAGAAACCTGTAATTTGTCCTTTTTCCACTTGCGTTCAGCTCTCCTGCATAGACGTTTGGCTGCTCGAGTGGTCCCGTTCAACCAGGGGTGTGGTGCCCACTTTGGTCGCCTGATTTTTAGCAGGGCCACGAGGTCTAAAATCTTAGAGCAGGTCGCATCATGCCTACTGAGCAGCTCCTGTGTATTAATACAGGCAGAGGTTTCGGGGACTGAGGCAGCATTAATAATGAATGCAGAGGAAAAAAGCAGCGGTTGAAGAGTTAAATATCTGACAACTCTTGGCTGAAGCGGGAGATTTAGACTCATGAATAACAGAGGTTTCGAATGAAATGGGTTTGTGATCCGAAACAATAGC